TCGATGATTGATGTCAGTTTCCATATCTTTGTGCTAACGAAGCTTAGTTTCGTTTCCCATTCTTGTAAAAAGAGATTGAGTTTCAAATAAGGATGATGAGAGTGATGTGAATATGGGTTGGGTTTCTTCTTATACTTTGAATTAATAAAAATTTCATTTGACTAATAAAAAAAATTGATAAAAGGTTTTTATAATTTTTTTAAATATAAATTAAAAATTTAATTAAAAATTAAAAATAAATTCAAGAATTTAACTTAAGATTTTGTCTAAACTGTTTTGGATTCATGTAAGCGGGAAGGGTACATTTTTGGTGTTCACCTACATACTGCACCGTAGTATCTGTCCAGACTTCAACATAAAAAGCAGTAAAAATTTAATTGGTGGGTGGAGTCAAAAAGATCAAAAAAAACGTGATAGGGAGGATAGCACCCCTAGCAATCCGCAGGCAGAAGGTAGGTAGGCAGGGACAAGGAGTACTGTTTCTTCTGTTGGCAATTCAAAGCACAAACCAATCACTTTGGTCCCAGAGTTCCACTGGCAGCGTCGGTAGCCAGTACCCGGGCCCCTGCCCGACTCATCACATGTCTCATGGGCTTGCAGCAGCTGTATAAATTGATCGTGCATTGGATTATGATTAAATGCATTTTAAGAGCAGAATAAGAGGCAACACTTGCAATTGCGGTTTGGTTACCCCATTAATGTTATATGTTTGCTTAATCCAAATGTTGGCTTAACTGGTGGTGCCGTGGTGATTGTATTTGTAGTGCACAATTGCACGTGAAGATGGTCCCCCCACATATTATTGCTCTTCTCTTTTGCATTATGACGTAAGTAATTTTATTTTGTTTTGTGAAAAAATTTTATATTTAATATATGAAATAAAAAAAATATAAATTAAATATTAAAAATATTATTTCATTTATTATCAATTAATTTTAACTTAAATACAAATATTGTATTGTAACCTAGATGCACAATTTTCCCCCATTCCTTAGCTTCACCACTAGTCCTTAGTTTTGAAACTACAGCTCTTCCTTTACCCATTCCTACTTTGCGACTACAACTCTTCTTTTTCTTCCCTTCTACTGCAGATTGCAGCAATCGCATGGAGGATTGTTGAGGTTGAGATTTTGCTCTTGCCTTCGTGTCTGAGACCATTCTCATCTTCATCGAGGGTTTTGATCGTGAGTTTTTGGGGGGGTAATTTTCGGTTGAAGTTATGCAGATCTAAATAGAAAGCAAAATACCAATTACCTGTTAGTTCAAAGGGAAAAAAATTCGATTCTCCTTAAGTAAGATTTCGAATTCGAGTGTTATAAATGAAAAGATAAGTATTATAATAGTTTTTCTCTAAATGGGATCTAACGTGACTCAATTCCGAATTACTGAATTTGATGTGAATCAATTTCAAATTACTTAGGATCCAATATGATTATTGAATACCGAAAGGTTAGTACCAAATAAAAAAAAAAAAGAAGCATAGTGATGATTCAGGAACCATTAAAATGCATAAGTTCTAGTTAGACTAACTTTAAAGAAAGAATTACTATCTATCTTCAAATATTAATTATCAATTGTTAACTTCATCAAAACAATTAATCTAAAAACAAAATACATGTAAAACATTCTTTGTTTGGAGAATCAAGCTCGATCTAATCAATCTGCCTTTCCGCTATTTATGGGGACTAATCATAGGAATTTAAATGAACATAACCAATTAGAATGAAAAGCAAACAAATGTACCTGCTGACTTGACTTGACAATTTGATGAAACTGGTAAATAATTGTCTGTTTATGGTTGAAATTAAATTCGGTGGGGATGCCAGTCGACAGCCACTAATCATACCTTTTGAAACTTCATCCATGTGCATGTTCACACAATAGCAGGCGCAACCCCAAAATCTTCATCTGTGTTCAAACACCGGAAATCGCCAGTGGCCATCCAATTAGCTTCCGGTGGCTTGAGTTTCCATTTTTCCTATAATGGTTAGAGTGCCTTTTAGCTGGTAGACATCCCAAAAATAAAATCTTTTTAATTCGATTAAAGACAACTAATTTATATCAAGAAACTTTATATAAAATTATTGTTTTAGTAAATTTTAAAAATAATTAAATAAAAATTTTAAAAAGATACTCTATAATATAATTGGAATAGGGAAATACTCTAAAATAAAAAAAAAATTATTTAGTAAAGGAGACGCTTGTACTTTAAACATAAAAATTGCCGTACATGTGGGTCTTTGACTACGACAATTTCTTCCGTTCACCTGTTGAGCGTACTTAACAAAGGCAGAATTATATAACTTCTTTTAGGTTTTTTTTTTTTTTAACAAAGTGTCAATAAGATTTAAATTTCGAACTCACAAAAGGAAATAAGACTGTACTTTCAAGGTAGCCGAAGGACCAAGTGCCTTCTTTCAGTTAACTTAGCAATGAAGAACATATTTTATTTTATTTCATTGAGGTGATTTACCAAAAAAAAAAAAATCATTGAGATCCTTTATGATTGCTTAAAGTAATTTAATTTTAACGCCTTTTTTAGGTGAGAAATCTGAATTAAATTACAGAATAATCAGGTTTGAATTTGATTAACGGGGTTTGTTGATTGGAAATTTTGTGATACACGGGCCGAAAGTGTTGTTGGGTTGACCTCAATTTTGTAGTTCTGGGCCTCTAAATTATGTCCTTTTGTGTTTCTTACTTTCTTTCATCATTATTTTGGATTATACAATAAAAAAATAATTCTCTCTATTTTTTAATTTATCTTTTCACAACTCAGATAAAAAATTTCTTACTTAATTAAAAAAAATTATCATTAAACAACTTAAGTTGATAATATGTCTTTTCATGTTCTGCTTGGCAATTTATGCCTATCGTATATAGGAGGATCAAAATTTGCTTAGTAATTACATGCATTTGCCTTTTCTAACCAGATAAAAATAGAAACCTAAAAATTCTGTTGTTAGATAAACTAAATAAATAAGGATAACGTAAAATTTTTTATGACAATATTATAATTATAATATCACGTAATATTATAAATTTATATATATAATGTGACATTAAATAAGTATGACATATAATTAAATTAATAAATGTATATGATATTATGTATAGATTTTTAAGTGAAAAGAATCAATTATATAAAAATATATCATGTTGTAAGCTTACAATGACAAATGACATTGTAATTGTATCATTTACAAAATGTTTTATTTGCCTTCTTTTCGCAGTTGGGGTTTTTTAGCCACATGAGAGCTTATTTTTCTCTTTGCAAATCTCTAGCGAAGGTGTAGGGGTGTCCAGCCATTGGTGCTAAGAGAGCCCTGCCAGTGATGCAAGCTCTTTTCTTTCTTTTCTCCTTGTTTCTTTTTGAGGTCTAGTTGGAGCTTGGTATAGGAGTATGAACTTAGATGAAAGGGTAATCGTGCTCTACTCTCTAGAAGATGAAGTGTGGAGTGAGGAAAGGGGTTTGATTGCATGGTGTGAGGTGTGCGCCTGCGAAGGAAGGGGTCTATCAAGAGAGGAAGGGAGGGAAGGTTAGAGCAATGGTGTTAGGGTTGGGGGTTCAAGGAGGGATGCATGGATGATGTCAAGTGCACACGGGATTGGTTGGTAGAGGTGCTAGATGGATTATTAGGGTTGGTAACTTAAAAAAGGAAGAATTTTTATTTTTTTTATACATTTAATAATGAGTTATATAAGAGGAGAAAACTCACCACTCCAAACATGCTTTACACACATTTCGTGATTCAAACTTGAAATTTTCAATATAGAGACCCAAACATTTGACTGCTAAGACATTCTCTAGGGACCCAATCCACACCGTTAAATGCATTATAAATGGACTTCAAATGCTTTAATATTTTCCAAGAAAAAACATAACATGGAAAAAGTAACTCTCAAATATCTCAACCTAAAATAAGAGAATTTTAACTCATCCCTTATAGATTAAAAACATACACATTTTCAATTAATTAGTTAAAAGTTCAATTCACAAACTCTTAAAGGCAAAATATGTAAATTATCCTCCAAAATTGTTACGTTGAAACAAATCATCACTTAAAAAAATTGTTAATGCAAATTATCACCTTAAATTTTTATTTTCAGGAAATCAACCTAAATTTAACTACTACTATTAAACTTTGTTAAACAAAGTTAAACTATTACTTTTGAAATCAAATGAAAAGTTAACAGTAACCATTAAATTTGAGTTAATTTTTTGAAAATAAAAATTTAAAGAAGCAAATTTCGTCAACATTTTTGTAAGTGATGATTTGTTTTAATGCGACAAATTTGAAAGAAATCTGCACCTTTTGCCACTTTTAAAATATAGAAAGAGAAATGTTACAGGTTTATATCTAAGCATGAAGTCATGTGTATGTGATAAATAATTACAATAGAACAAAAGAGTTCTGTGTTTAGTAGGCTGAATTATATTAGGCTGCAAACAAAAATGGTTGGATAAAGAAAGCCCCCCAATACTTAGAAATTTACCTCTTTTTCAATGATTTTTATTATATAATTTAATACAACTCAGATTATACAATAATTTTTTCTAACAAAAATGGGTAAAGACCAACGAATTTGACAAACTAAGCTTTTGAATTCAAGATACCCTCTTTCAAGTAATTCCCTCAAAGAAGAGTTTAAAAAACTTATCCAAAATTATTCTCTCATTCTCCCATCTCTGCTCTGTCAAATAAGTTGTTTTGTACCTTCCACTCAGTCCCAAAAAAAAAAAAAAAAAAAAAAAAAAAAAAAAAAAAAATTCCTTCCCTCACAGATTCTGCATGAACTTTGAATCCCCATCCCAAAAACGACGCCGAAACACAGTAGAGAACAAGAAAGACCAGCAGAATCCTGGCTGTTAGAAGATTGAATGTTGCTGGACCCACTCATCCCCATCCAAAAAGTATAAACGATAAAACTACCCACTCCCATCATTTTGTATTCTCTCCTCTCCCCATTCCACCCTGGCACCTTCTCCCGTCCGTACCCTGTCCCTGATTCCTCCGCCACCGGCTACCTCCCTACCCGGTTCCCCACACGTGCTTCACCACCACACACGTACCTATCATTCCCCTCCTTTCCTGGTGCAACAAATAAAAGCAAGGGAGATAGACCCAAGAAATGGAGAGTGTAGAACCAAAGAAAATTTTCTCTTCTCATCCTCTATTAGTCTTGTAGTGACTACTATTTTCATATGGGTTGGGTTTTTGCACTCTCTTTCTATTACTTTTCCTTCTGACTCTGAAGTCTGAAACTTGATCAGTTCTTCATCTGGGTTTTCGATTTTCTGAAATTAATAAGTCAGAGTCATCTGGGTTCGTTTCGTTTTTTTTTGGGTTTCTTTTCTCTTGTCAAATCTTTTTCTGGGAGAGGGAAAATCTTGTGTTGTTGCAGAGATGAGGATCAGGAAAAGACAGCTGCCGTTTCCTCTCTCATCCTTTCTGTCTTCAGATCCCCACTTTAACCGGTCACCGGTGGTGCAACTCAACAACCCACATGGAAATCTCACCCCTCACCCGTCTGATCGTCCTAATCATCACCCGATCGGCGTCCAAACCGCCGTTTCTGATTCCTCTGACAAGAAGATGGAGCGAGATTGCTTGGTCAGTTCCATAGTCCATACTTTAATCTTTTCTTTTCTACCCTTTCATTATATCAAAGTGCACTTGTGTTTAATGTTACATTAGGAAATAATTTGTTGATTTACTTTGCGATTAATTTGCACCCAATAAAAGTTTATGAAACTGAGTCGATCTTATATTTTTTGTTTGCGATTTTGATGTAGGAGTTGAAGCAAGAAAGACCCACTACAGCAGCGGCGGCGGCGGCGGCCGTACAGGGGCAGGAAGGGGAGGAGAGAGGAGAGGTGGAGCGGAAGAGTAATGATACCAGGTAAGAAAGAAGGCAATAAAGTTAAATCCAATGTTGTTCTTCTTTCATGAATTCTTGTAGTAGTAAAAATTAAAAAGGTGAAAAAAGATGAGACCCATAAATATTTTGGGTTCTAATTTTTAACCCAACAAAGAAATTTTCCTTTTTTTATATATAAAAAAAAAATAAAGTGTAAGTGGAAATACTGTTTGGGTGTTTTTATATCTTTGGCTAGCAACCATACCTCCTATCTAATCAATTTATTTCAATTTTTTCTCTATTTTTTGGTGCACGTTAGCAATGCTGGTCCCCATCCACCATGCTCTATATTTTGTACTTGTTTTTTTCTTTGACTGTGAAATTTATGTTTCTGGTTGCAAAAATTTTGGTAATTATATAGGAAGAAAAGTATTCTGGGTGCAGATGTGGGTTCTGGGTCTGGTTCTTCTTCTCGTCAAGGTAAGCAATAAATCGAAAAAAACTGATTGAGAAACACAAAATCGATATTATTTGACTGTGTTTGAGGGTGCTAGCGTTGTTCTTGTTGTTGCATATGTATATATAGCTGGGGAGAGATGGTACGAGGAAGAGAAAGTGTTTCCATTGAAGAAGAGAAGGGGGAGGTTCGTTGAGGATGATGTGATAATGGAGAAAGATAAGAAGGCGAATGCGAAGATGAAAGCCAAGATGAACAAGAAATGCGTGCAACAACAAAACGATAATGATCCAGAAGAGATTAAAGAAGTTGATGGTGGCAATACTACTACTACTGGTGCAAGGAAGAGGAGTAGAGGTGGTGCACTAATGGAGGGATCGCGGTGCAGTCGTGTTAACGGGAGGGGATGGCGGTGTTGCCAACAAACTCTTGTTGGTTATTCTCTTTGTGAGCATCACCTCGGTAAAGGACGTTTGAGGAGCATGAACAGCGTCAGAAGTCGGTCCTTGGCTAGTACTGGTACTACTGCACCCGAGAAGGACAACTTGGACCACGAGCCATTGTCTAGTTCTTCATCCTTGCAGGATAAAAATGTTGTTGTGATAGATGGTGATGGCGATCAGACTGGGAACACAGATATGGATGACAAGAAGCCTTTGATGACGACGACGATGAAGAAGAAGATGAAGCTTGGCATGGTTAAAGCTCGATCCATAAGCAGCTTGCTGGGGCAAACAAACAATGCACTTGCATGTGCAGTTGATGAGGACAAGTAGTTCGTTAAAGGCAGATGAACTACACCGAGACTCTATAGCTAGAATTTGATATATGATCATGTTAGAAAGGAATATCATCAAGGTTCTTTTGGGTATTTTGAGTGGATATATATATATATATATATATAAAGGTAAAGTTTGAGGTTTACATTAGAGACTGGTGCAACTGTGATTGAGCTTCCATTTCTCTGTATGAGATTCTTGAGGAAGAACAGATGCTTGATAAAGTGTTTTCACTTATCGTTTTCTTCTTTGCTTTTTGATTTTTTGTTCTTGTGCTTTTTTAATTATGTAAGGTGATGTGGGTTTAATATTAAAGAAAGTAGATATAAATATGGAGTTTGTTTCGAGTTTAAATAAAAAAATGCACACTTTAACATGTATTATTAAATTTTTGTGGGTAACCATGCACCACCCGAGATACCCTAGTTTGATGGTACTGTATCTCTTTTGACTCGGGAAATGCTGTTCTTGGCTGCTCCAGAGAGGAAATAAAGAAATAATATAAAAAGGGGGAATATCAAAGAGTGACTAAAGTGCATACAAAAAAGTGTGCAATTAAGATTATTAGAGGTGACAGAGTTTTAAATATTATAATTGATATTTTATATAATAATTTTTATTTTATAAAATAAAATATTTGGGTGCATATTAATACTAAGTTTTAAAAGTTAAGAGTTTTATAAATTTTAAAACAATATCATTTTAAAATTTACACATCTTAAATATAAATAAAATTATTTTAAAATTAAAATAATATAAAATGTAACTTGAAATTATGTCGTTTTAAAATTTAGGCATTCTATAAATCTAACACGGTGCAATTTGATTGTTACTTATTGCGAATCTGTCCCTGACTCTGAACCTGGCATGACAGGTTGATTTCCATGTAGCTCAGCAGCTTGTAGTGGTAGTTTCGATACTTCGTAGCCCTGTTGTTCTGCCTAGGCGAATGTCTTGACAATCTCCTAGTTTTAAATGACTTCTGTTAATTGTTTGCATTTGTTTATGAGCATTTATCGCTTATTACTATGTATTGTAGATATAGTTTATAAGTCCTTTATGAAAATATTTAGAGATTGTGATTTGTTAAATAATTTTTATTTTCTTTTATCTATAGGATACTTATCATAGATTTATACATATAAAACAAAATTATTTCTTGTTTATATAAGACTCCTAACTTTAGGAATTTTTATTTTTTTAGCCACTTCCATAAAATTTAACAAAGTGAATTGCTATGTTAATTTACTACCTTTAACATAGCTCCATTTTATTTTTTTTTATATTGAGTTGCACAATACATGTTAAATATTTCTTTCATCTGCTTATTTATCTATCTACATACCTATAGTTCGAAACTAAGATATTTTACTTCATTTAAAGAAAAAATAACAATTAAACTACTTAAATAATTGGCTCCATTCCTTTTTAATTTGGATTATGTTATTATCAATAATTTAAGTAATTCTGTGGTAATCTTTTTTATTTAAAGTAAAAAATTTTTAGTTCGAATTATATAACATGCAAATGAAGTGGATTAAAGGATGAGAGATGATTATTTCTCATTGTGTAACAAAGATTAAAAAAACCATAAATAAATAAAAAGTTAGCCATGAGTAATTGAAAAGTTAAAGTTTGGTTGGTTAGCTTGAATGGAACTCATTAATTAATTAA